CCAAAAGTGAACCAGACACCAAACACTCAGTAGGCACCAGTCTTGGGGCAGAAGCCAGTTCAGCTGTTCCAACTCCGACTATCTCCCCTGGTGTACCCGATATGATGACCTCCCAGGTCCCTAGTTCTGAGACAGATGCCAATATGACTATTCCAAGTCTAACTCTTTCTCCTGGTGAACCAGCAACCACAGCCTTATCGGTCCCCCAGTCCAATGCAAAGACAAGCGCAAATTTTCCTGGTTCAGCTGCTTTTCCTCATTTACCAGAGACCGTCGCCTCACCATCCATCCAACCTGAGTTGGAGGTTAGTGAAGCTCTTCCAGCTCAGACTGTTTCCCTCAGTCCAGCGAAAATAACATCCTTCACCACACCTGTGACTGAGACCAGCAGAGTTGATCTAGGTCCAACGATCTCACTTGGTGTTCCTGCGGAAACAGCCTCACTCTCCACCCATCTTGGCACAGACATCACAACGATTTCAAGTTCAACTCTTTCCCCCGTTTTATTGGTGACCACAGGCTTACTGGCCACCAGCCCTGCATCAGGTGCCAGCACAGGTATCCCAACTTCGACTGCTGGTGATCTTGGGCCTGTCAGTACCCCTGCAACCACTGGTGAGCCTTACACCTTAACTTCCTGGGGCACAGAACCCTCACCACCTGTGACCTCAGTTGGACTCCCTGAATTGTCCAAGACTGTGATGGGGAACACTCTGACCTTGATAGCATCAGAGACACCAACACCACCTAAAACCAGTCACGGAAAAGGACTGAATACAACAACTGTCCTGAAAACCACAACTCTTGAGACCACTAATTTAGCTGCTACAGGTTCAGGCCCCATCATAGTAGAGACCACAACCACCTTCAATACATCAGCAGGAAGTCCCTTTGTCCCTGAGACCTCACCTGGGATGTCCACCTTGACCTCTCTGAGTGTGGCTTCAGAAACAAGTAAGAATGACTATTTTTTACTGTAGTAAAAATGTATATATACTATAAAATTGGCCATTCTAAATGTACAATTCAGTGGCATTAATTACATTCACAGTGTTGGAGAAATATTATCCTATCTTTCTCCAAAACTTTTTATCACTTCAAACAGGATCTGTGTACCCATTAGACATTAGCTTTCCTTCCCCACTCAGCTCAGCCCCTGGTAATTCTAATCCACTTCTGTCTTCAATTTGCCTATTTTAGATATCTCATGTATGTGGAATCACATAGTGTATTTGTGTGTGTGTGTGTGTGTGTGTGTGTGTGTGTGTGTGGCTTATTTCACTGAGTGCAATGTCTACATGTCATAGTGTGTATCAGAAATTCATTCCTGTTTATGGATGACTGACATTCCATTGTATGGATGGGCCACATTTTATCTGTCTGCTCATCTGTTGATGGACACTCAGGCTGTTTCCACCCTTTGGCTACTGTGGATAATGCTACTATGAATGTGGGTGTACATGTATCTGTTTGAGTCCCTGTTTCCTATTCTTTGGGGTACATACCTAGAGAAAGAATTGCTCAGTCAGGCGATATACTAGTTCGTTAGGGCAGCAGTAATGAAGTACCAAATACTGGATGTCTTGAACAATAGAAATTTATCAGTTCTGGAGGCTGGAAGGGACCCTGGGAGAATGCGTAGAACATGAACTTTGGAGTCATCCTCTCTGCAGGGGGCAGTAAGGGAGCTGGGGTATCTATCCACCAACTCCCATCAATCATCGCTAGTGGGGTGCTCCCTGGGCCTGTTCATTTCTCCAAGATGAAGAGATGCAGGTGCTACTATGTGCTGAAATGGTAAGAGCCAAGGGAAAGTAGGAGTAGGGTGACTAACTCATCCCAGTTTTCCCAAGACTGTCTCAATTTTCCAACTGGACATCTGCATTCCAGGAACTCACACAGTCCTGGGAAAACTGAGATGGTTGGTCACCCTATGTGGGAGGGTCTTGAACAGCAGGCCAGTCTAGGCCGAACCCCAGCTTGGCGCTGGAGTTAAGGTGTGTCCTTGGAGCCTTCCTTCCCACCCCCAGCCCAGGCCTGACCCAGGACTGGGCTCATTTACTCTTCCTACTACCACAGCTGCAGTTCCTTTCTTGATGCCTTTTACTGTCAACTTCACCATCACCAACCTGCACTACACAGAGGACATGGAAAACTCGAGCTCTGAGATATTCAGTGCCACTGAGAGAAACCTGCAGCACCTGGTGAGAGCCCCCTGCCAATGCTCACCTTGTCCCAAGCCTGCCACACCCCAAAGTCTTGACCCCTCCAGCTCATCACCCTCTCATTTGTTCTCAGCTCGGGACTCTGTTCAAAAACAGCAGCATTGGTTCACTCTATGCTGGCTGCAGTCTGACCTTGCTCAGGTAAGGCTTCTTCCAAAGCACCTACAGAACCCCAATTCACTCCCTTCTTGGTGTCCCACATCCCAGTCAACCACAGCCTTGGGTCTTTGCCAAGAGGCAGCATATCATAGTGGACCCAAAGTGTCTGGGTTTGAACCCTTGCTCTCCCATTTGCAAGCTCTGTGATCTTGGACAAGTTACATAACCTCTCTGTTCTTTAATAACATTATCTACAAAGTAGTGATAATACTAGTACCTTACTAATGGGGTTATTAATCACTAATTGCAATGCCTGGCCCATTGTGAACACTCGATGGGATCTCATAGTATTAGCCAGTGTAGTATCTTTGCCAATTGTGTCCCCAGAATCCCTGACACTGTCCCTGCCCCAGCTCATATCTATCCTATTGGGGACAAACTCTGGACACTGCAGTCCTGCAGTATATTCCTTGAAAAGAGATAGGGACCTTCCCAGAGGATGTTACACAGAACCAAAGGGGAAAACAAACCAAATGCTGAATACTGGCAGGATATATTGCAATTTAAAAACTCACAAATAGACCTGAACTCTACAGAAGTGGCCTGTTTTCTCCTCTCTGCTATGCCCATTTGGTGTCGTCTGAGGTCAGTGGGCTCAGAACCCTTTCCTTACATTTCACGACTCTATGACTTCTCTTTGGGGTCCTGCATCCAGCCAATGCAGGTCATCCTGCCAGAGAGGTGGGTCCTCTACTCACATGGCTTCACGATAAGAGGTTCCTGGAGTGTTGTAGACCAAAACCGTCCTAAATGAGCTCCACCCACCTGCCCCCATCTCCCCATGAGTTGGGGAGAATCAGTAAGGTAATATTGACCATATGATAGGCCACCCAAAAATCTAAGTGATGTACGTGTTTTCGTTCATTTCATCTTTACAACAACATGATTATTATCCCACATTGTAGAAGAGAACACTAGGCTCAGAGTAGTCAAGTTCCTTGAGAGGAGCTAGGATTTGAACCCAAAGGTTCTAGTTTTTGAGTCCCTCCTTTTAACCATGATACAATAGCGCTCAAGGTCACTGGGCTCACCATGTACTTGCATCCTTAAAAGTCCTCAGAACTCCAGTGAGCCTTTGGACTTGAGGGTTATATCTGCCCCTATTTATTGAATTAGAAATTAAAACATATTATAAATATGTATTCATTAATTTATTAAAAGTAATAAATCTATTACATGTTAACACAAACAATATAATTTTTATGAACAATGGCAATATTTCCCTCCCCTCAAAAAAGGCATAACAAGAAGAGAGCCATTGTTTACATTTTTGCAGATATTTTTAATGTCTGGTTTAGGAGAAGACAGTAGGATATCTGCTTCTGCATTTAATCTTTTACAGTATTTCATGTTGTGGCCTCTGGAAAACATTTCACAGTATACTCCTAAGAGAACAAAAGTTAAAATAATGAAAATAATCTTACTTGGTGGACTCTCTGTAAGAGTTTATGACTACCAGGAGTCCCTGGGCCTCATTTTGAGAACCATGCTTTGAATAGTGTGGATAATAGCATGAATTCCCAGGCAGGGGAGGGAGGGGATCTTTCTTCCTGTAAAGCCCCTGCTCTGGGTGAATCACTATAGGTTCAGCTGAAATTCAGGACAAAAGTATTTTTGAACCACATTGGCCCTTATCACCTCTTAATTCATTTTCTCTGTTTTTCTCCAAACTTGGTTACCTGCTCCAAAGGTGCTCCCATGGAGTTGACCTCAACCTTGGGATTCACCAACATGAAACAAAGTCTTCCCTTCAAGCTCCATGATGGTTGTTGCACAATGTCACAACCAGCCACGGGGGTGACTCCCTCACCTCCTCCAAGGTCTTCAGTCCTTTGCTGTTCCCTTCCACATGCTGCCTGGGCTCAGGATTCTCCTTTCCTCCCAGGAGCTCCACACCCCCAATCTTACAGCCCAAGCAGGACTCAGCTACTGGAGGGGATGCCATCTGTACTTACCTTCTTGAATGGACAGGGACTGTACTGGGCGCTGGTAGTTGAAACAATGAGCATGAACCAATTAATAAAAAGATGGGGGAGCAAAAGAAGAAAATTAGGTGCAGAGTAGCCCTGGAGAACACGTAAGGTGGGATGGTCTGGATCCCCCATATCAGACAGAAAAAGATGTGTTTGAGACAGCAGGTGAAACCCTGAGAAGACTACTAACATAAACACCAAGGGGTACAATTGAAGGAAGGAGTCGTCAGGATTGGTCAGCTCCCAAGTGTCTCTGCCCATCCCTATTCCCATGTCCTTCCTTCCCCAGGGCTGAAAAGGATGGAACAAGCACCAGAATGGACGCGGTCTGCACCTACCGCCCAGATCCCACAGGCTTCAGTCTGGACAGAGAGGGGCTATCCTGGGAGCTAAGCCAGCAGACCCATGGTGTCACTCAGCTGGGCCCTTACACCCTGGACAGGGACAGTCTCTGTGTCAATGGTGAGTACCTCCATTGCTGTTGGGGTCTCCTCCTGAGCCCCAGATGGGGTTTCCTTGCAGTGCAATTTCTCAATACCTGTGTTCATAGTTCTGGGCCAACCCAGATTTCCATAGGGAAATTCTGTTCCAACAGAATACCTACAGAGCAGCCTGCCTGCCTGCCTCCCCTCCCTTTCTTCTTTCTTTCTTCTTTCTTCTTTCTTCTCCTTCTTCTTCTCCTTCTTCCTTCCTTCCTTCCTTCCTTCCTTCCTTCCTTCCTTCCTTCCTTTTTCTTTCTTTCTTTCTCTCTAGTAAAAGTAATATTTATTTTTGTACACTGTCATTTTAAATATTAGAAACTTTGAGAATGAAAGGGGTTTGGGGGAGGAAACTCTTAGGAACCTTCTTATCACATTGTTTACAATACAGCCATGACTTTTTCTATGCCAGGGTGAATTGTCCTATTACTTTCTAAGTTTCAGTCAGATTCTAGCATTTTACCCTATGTGCTTTCAATATGGTAAATTATCTCTGAAAATTTCATTAATGTGAAGTTTTGTTTGCTGATGTCACTTCTTTTGGCTATCCTCACCTTTTTTGTTACTCTCCTCGTGAATGCTGATAAGTTTGTCTTCACTACATTCCTCTGGTTGCACAAATGGAGTCTCACAAATATCAGCAGTGTGAATATTCCATGGTCAGTTAATTTGTCTCTAAGTCCTACTATTATTTATTTTTATTTTGTTTAAGTTTTTGTTTTAATTCCAGTTGGATAACAGTGTTCTGTTAGTTTCAGGTGTACAGTATAGTGAGTGATTCAACACTTTCATACAACACCTAATGCTCACAGAACAACTTCTAAAGTCTGGAAATAAAGGCTCCCTGCATAGTCTTCTTCATTGCAGTGACCTTTCACAGAAACCCAACTGGAGCATGAAGCTATCAGGGAAGGAAGAGTATAAAACAAGCCCACAGTGGCTGTTGGCATTCATTCCTCCCCAACAGGAAATGAGTTCCCAAGGTTGTGACTGATCTGCTTCTTTCTCTTTGTTATGATAGTCTGTGACCTTTTGCTCATCCTCCAGGGGCCAGCCAGACCACATCCCACCTGAGAATCAAACAACAAAGCTGTTAGCAATGTTTTTTAGCAATAAATCCCTCCTCAACAATGCCCTTAGCAACAAAACCCACAGTCACACCTATACTAAAGGCTAGTGTTTATTGAGGGATGCTTGTGATCCAGAACATTGTGTGTATTATGTTTTACAAATCCTGTCCAACACTCTGTGACATATTATGTATATTTTACAGAGGAACAAGCAAGGCTCAAGGAGGGAAATCTACTTTCCCAAGATCAGACAGCTAATATAAGTGGTAGCATCACAACTCAAACCCTAAATTAGCTCTAAGGCCCCCAAAAGGCCCCCTAACTACTAGGCTACACTGCAGACAAACTCATCTAGAACAAGCCTCAAATATCAGGATGGGAAGGCATATCACGGAGCCCCTAATACAACAGTTTAAACCAATGCTCAATTAATTATGTCTCCACTGTATTGACTTTGACATTGTCTTTCTATCTGGATTAAAACCTGTATTATATTTCAATAGTCCTTAAGAATTACTTAAAGCTGTAGCTCACATTGTGGGTTTGGGTGGTTTACAGGTCTTTCTTTAAGCCCTGGTCCTGGTTTTTTGCTCATCCTGTGTCCCTGGGCAAGCCATGCAACCTCTCTAGGCGTCATTGTCTATTTTTAGAATGGAATTTTTAAAAACGTCATTTAAGATTATTGTAAAGGTCAACTGGTATAAAACCTGAATAATCTAAGTAAACCACAGGGCTCTCTCCACTAGGTCCAGTCTTAAAGAAGAGTTTCATTTCAAGAAACCCAGTCAGACCACCAAATATAAACTAGGTCTAAGTTTTACTTCCATTCCCTACAGAACATCAGAGAAGACCCAGTCCATGATCCAGAACCATACTTATTCAAACCCTCTTTTCCTCAATTCCCTCTTACTCTCCAACTTTATACTCTCTGGTTGACTCCCACCTCTGTCTGCCTGTCTCACTCTCTCACCCTCATGATCTCAGTTCAACATTACAGAAGTCCAGGAACTATGTCAAAGATCACGCTGTCTCTGAAGAGTAGGGTAGTGGGAAAAACTCAGAGACCAAGGAAAGAGTTATATTTAATTGGTGAAGAAAACACAAATAAAGCTGGAAACACTCTCATAAAATTGTTGTGGCTAGTACTCATTTGGTGAGGTTGATATTGTCCCAGGCACCTAGTGAACCCCCATAAGATGAGGGGTATTTTGATCATTATTGTCTTTGTGGTTGATGATCATGAGGACGACACAACTGTGAGCACCAGAGTACAAGGCAGTTAACCCCTAAAGAGTTGATGAGTCTCAGAGGAAGCACTTGAGAAGGTTTGCGTTGTGTGTTTCAAGTCATACCCCTCATCCTTTTCTTAGCGTCCTCCCATCAGCTTACTCTTCCTCTCTGGCTCTCTCTGCAGGTTATAACTATCAGTACTGGATCCCCACCACCAGCAGTAAGTCACAAGGACCCAGATGTCCCTGCATCCCTGGGACACTTCCTCCTTACGCCTGCTCCCCGGGGTGGGGGGGGAATGTACCCACCCCCCGCCAGGTTCTCAGCCCCAAAGCAGCTCCAGACGACCCATTAGAGATACGAGCTCCTGTCAACAGCCCTGTCCTCTCACTGCTTCATGATTGGGACCAACAATTTATATTCATGTTGTATTCTTTCATTCCTTCAGCTCCGCTGACTTCTACATTCTCTCCAGGACTCCCTGCATCTCTGCCTCCCACCCCCAACTCTACAGGTAGGAGTCTAACCTCTAAGTCGCACGGAACTTCAACTCCTGTTCTGGTTGGTGAATCCTGCATGATCTGGACCGTGCTGCCCACCCAGCCCCAGCCTGTCCCACTATCTCCCTTGCTCCCTCCTCTCTGGCCATACCAGCCTCATTTCTGTTCTTCCAAGGACCAAACATCCTTCCATCCTCAGGGCCTTTCCTCTCACTATAATGGGAACTCAGCTCTGTTCCTGGTTTCTCTTTGTCCTTCAGATTCAGGTCAGCTGGCTCTTGCTCAGACCTCCTCCTACAAAGTAGCATTTCCCCATATCCCACACATAGATGGAACCTAATCTCTATTCTATCTCTATGATCATTTCTTTCATGGAAATTACTACTGTTTGGATTTGTTGACTGCTCAAGTATTTGTAGCCCCAGATCTGAGCACAAAGGTCTTGGTCCCTCCTCTTCCTACTAAAATGTCAATGACAGGTCAGCCTTTGGACACTCTGGGATGAGAAGATTGAGGTTTCCTTTTGAGGTGACATGACACAGCTAAATGGAGGTCCACTCTCCTCCCTTGGCTGGCTGAGGAGGGAGGAGATCCCAGATGGGATATCTCAGGATTTACCTACTGGATACTATGGACAGAGAGACAGTACTAGTCCCTTCCCCCGAACATACAGCTCAGGCCTAAGACTGTGATGGGTCTCTCCTCTCTCTCTCCCTCCAGCTGCAGGTGTGGGTCCCGCCCTGGTGCCATTCACCCTCAACTTCACCATCACCAACCTGCTCTGCACCCCAGACATGAGGCACCCAGGCTCCATGAAGTTCAATTCCACTGAGAGGGTCCTGAAGAGCCTGGTAAGAACCTGACAATGCCTTCCCTGGCCTGCCTTGTCTTTGCCCCACCCACTCACCTCAGCCCCTCCTGCTCACCTCTCTCTCCTTCCTCCCCAGCTTGGTCCCTTATTTAAGAACACCAGTATTGGCCCACTGTACTCTGGTTGCAGACTGACCTTGCTCAGGTGAGACTTCCTTCCCTTACAACATGAAGGCTTGCACTGCCACAGGCAAGTTCACCTAAAGGTGAGGACCTGAACATAGCAACTAAAAAAATCATAAATGACTGGGGCCTTCCAGGAATTCAGATGGATGGCATGCCTTCTGGCTGAGTGTATCAGAGAGGGCTTCCTGAAAGAAATAACTGTCAAATAAAGGTCTTAAATTACTTGGATAAGCAGAGCCATGGAGCATTCATGCTCACTAGCCAGAAAGGGCAGGACTGACTCATTAGGCAGACATGAAATGAAGTACCTCAGGCTATCCTCTGTGACAGGTGCTAAGGGCACCGAGAGAATCAGTCTTGGGCCTTTCCCTCAGTATAGAGAGGATAGCAGCCATATGGACTTAAAACCATAATAGGAACAGGATTAATACAATGATAAAGCACTACACGGAGGTGATAGGAGCCCATAGGATGAACTTTTAGCTCATTGTCGACATTGAGTGGAGACACTCTACAGAAGGTGATGCCTGGGCTGAATGAACATTAGCCAGAAGAAACTTTGGCAAAGGTATTTCAAGAGGTGGCTATCCCTCAGATCTATGGGGAACCATGAAGTTGTAAGCAGAGCCTTGATGTGATGTCATTTATTTTAAGTAGTGCACTGGTAGATATGGGGATGGGAAAATTTGACATGAGGATGGGACAGGAGGTGGGAAAACCAGTGAGATGTTGAGCTGGACCTGGATGTTGCTTGGTTGGGGGGGACCAAGGACAGGGGAAGATCCAGGATGCTTCCACATGTTTGGCTCTACATGTTTGGCTCATCCTAGATGAAAAGGTCCCAGAAAAGAATGCACATGAGGAACTAGACAAGACCCAGTAAGAAAAATGTCATCAAACCGAGGCTGAGTCTGGGGCTGGGGCCGGGGGCAGCAAGCTGAAGACAAGAGTTGAACAAGGTATATAACTCTCCCACATCTCAGGATGCCCCTATTCCCATGTCCCAACACCCTAGGACTGAGAAGGGCGGAGCAGCAACTGGAGTGGATGCCATCTGCACCTACCATCCTGACCCCATGGGCCGCAGGCTAAACAGAGTAGAACTATACCAGGAACTGAATCAGCTGACCCACGGTGTCACCTGGCTGGGCACCTACACCCTGGACAGAGACAGTCTCTACGTCAATGGTGAGTGTCTGTGCTGCAGTTGGGGTCTCCAGTCCCATGCTTCTTTATGCCAGTAGTTCTCAACCGGGATGATTCTGCTCCCCAGGAGACATTGACAATGTCTGGAGATATTGATATTGGCATGTCATAGTTGGAGTGTTACTGGTGACATCTAGTGGGTAGAGGCCAGGGGTGTTGCTAAACATCCCACAATACACAATGCAGCCCTCCACCATGAAGAATTATCTAGACCATATTGTCAATAATGCTGAGTTTGAGAAATTATTGTATACAAATTTATAGTTCTGATGCAAACCTAGCATTTCCTTGGGGACTCATTTTTGAATGCTTAACACACCATGAGAGGCTGATTTCCTTTTCCTTTTCACCTACTGGATGACATCTTTCTTCCTCCTTATTTCCACTGCTTCCCATCGGAGCCTAACTGGAGCATGCAGACTCTAGGGAAAGAAGTGGGTGATATAGAACTCTGTGGCTAAGGTTTCTGAATGGGTAGTGGGTAACCATGCCAGCCCTCACCCCATGTCATTCTCTCCTTCATGACAACCAATGTTCTAAGTTCCCACAGGCCAGTCAGAGCTACACAGACTTGATGAGATAACATCACACTAACACATACTCCATGAGTAATAACTATGCACATAACACCGTTGACAACAATGCCCCTAAAAGCAATGCTAACACTGAGAATAGTAACTGTAATCGTGGCTAATTCCTATCAAAACATTCCGATGTGTCAGGAACTGTGATAAAGTCTTCATTTGTATTATCTCATATTAATCTTACCCAAAACCCTGTGAGTTTTTATAGTCATTTTTACAGAGAAAGCCATCATGCGTTCAGACAGGAAGTCATTTGCTCGAGATAATCCATCCATCATGCATGACGGAGTCAAGACTCAAACAAACCCAGAACTGAATCTAAACCCCAAGGTCCTAACCACAAGGCAACACCACAGACCACCCAGATATAGAAAGCCGCAAATCTCAGGATAGGAAGGGGCATGAATGACTTCTAGCCTAACAATCTAGCCTGATCCTTGATTAGTTATTTCCCCTCTGTATCAACTTGGAGATTTCCTTAAAGCAATGGTTAATAGTTTGAGGGTTGGTGAGTGATAGATCTCTGTTTTATGTGATGCTGAACAAGCTGTAAAACTTCTCTAGGCTTTAATATCCCATTTTCAGAATGGAATAAACATACATACCACGCAAGATTGTCCTGATAGCCAAATGAGAGAGTTCAGGAATAACTCAAGTAAATCACGGGGCTCCCCTGGGTCCAGTCTTTACTCCCACCCCTCACAGAGCATCCAAGGAGATGACCATGACTCAGAGAAACACTCATGAAAAATTCTCTTTTCCCCAATTCCTTTCAGACTCCAATTTTCATACCATCCATCTGACCTCCAATTCTCTTCTCATGTTCATTATCCTAGCCCATTTCCAAAGTTTCTCTAATATTCTAAACCACATGTACATTCCCTCTCCTCCATTTTGTTCACTTCCACAGGCCACTCTCTCAGCCTGCCACAATTTTGTCACTTCTACATCACACACACACACACACACACACACACACACACACACACACACACACA